TTTTCAAGGTATCCTACTCACAACTATACCTGTCTGTGGGCAAAAATCTCAGGTCGAAATATCGACATTCGATTTGGTGGTATTTACTATGCCAGAGGCTAAAATTTCAGTAAAATGCCTATAACTTTGGACAGAAGGCCTAAGGGCACTTATCCTTTTGGAGTTTTTCATACCTCACTGGGAGTCTACCTTACGTTCATACTCTCGACTCAAAAGCAATTCGACACTTGGGAATGTTTCCTCGTAAGTCAATACTCTATAAACGTGTTATATATAAATGTACGTTCTCATCAAGTAAGAAAAATCCTTTGTGAACAAATTTGTAAACTTGGACTATCTTTATTTTATATTCTTATCACCTTTCTAACATAGAACAAATATTCAATGCTAATTAAAATAGAAAGGCAGAGTCTTTCTAATACGGAAAACTTCAAAAAACTGCGACAATGCTTCGAAAAATATAATAGTAAGATTCTGATCTTCTCTATTAAATTTATTAAAATTTAGCTTTTCCGGAAAAACTACATGTATTCTGAAAGAGGAGACTTATCTATTCCTATATTTATCTTTTTCAAAATTCTATCTACTCATTACAAATATTTAACGTTCTTTTTTTTTCAGATGATAACATTCACATGATTTTGAATTTGAATAAAAGCTTTATTCGAAATATTGCTAGAAATTGTTCTGGAATAAACGAAATGAGTTACTCATTTTCTCTATAAAACCGATTCATCTACTATGGTATATGTGAACAGTAATCAAATATCGACAACAAAACCTATTAAAATTACATTTGTTATAGTTGTACTTATTGTTTGTTTTGTATTTGGTTTTCGTCTTGATCCAGGTTTTCCTCAAGTAAGAATTTCATTAAATCGCTCATATTCATCAGATATACAATCAAAACAACAAATCATACATTCGTTTCCTCCAGTATATAATTCAACACATCTATGGTCAATGCGTTTTGTCGATGAAAATTATTTTCGTTTAGCACGTCTTTTACCATGTCAGATTGTTGAATATATTGGTGGACCAAAAATAGATAAAATTGATTCATGTAATTATTCATCAACGAATGAATATTCAATAGAAAATACATTACAAGCACAAAAATGGCTTTATCAACATCAACATCCAATGAATTGTACAAATAGAAAATTTGCTATTATTCAAAATTTTGCTTGGTCAGGTTTTGGAGCAACTATTCATCAAATCGCATGGGCATTTGGTATGGCTTTAGCGGAGAATAGAATTGCTATATATGAAACACCAGGATATTGGGTAAGACAAATTGATATTATTGAAATCAACCTTAACATTAGTTAATCTTTTTGGTTACATCATATAATGATTTTTTTTTGAGATTATTCGAATCTTCGAACTTATTTTTCGATAGTATATAGCACATTCCCATCAAATTTTCATTGAAAAAAAAAGACGAGTTCCTTGTTTGAAGGAAAAATATTTTTAATAACTAATTTTATTTTAGTTTTATGGAGACTGTAGTGTAAGCACTCCTGATTGTGTTTTTCTTCCTATCACTAATTGTTCAATTCCATCTAAACCTTATAGTAACCAAACAATACACATTAGTGCTCGCATGAATCAATGGCCTAATCCTATTCATCCGCCTATATTCGAAAATCGAACTTTCAATTGGTATCGTGCACAATTATTATTTTATCTAATGCGATATAAATCTGAAACATTAACTTATGTTCAAAATACTATTGCTCAATATTTTCAACCACCTTTAATTGATCTTCATCATCCATATATTGCTGTCTATGTACGTCGATCAGATAAAGTTAAATATAAAGAAATGTGCCAAGCATATACACTTAAACAATATTTTGATTTATTTGATTTTGATGTACGACAAGCCAATGTAACAAGAGTTTATATAAATTCCGAAGATGACCAAATATTTAATGAATTTATTCAAATAAACAAACAAAAACAAGGTTATTATAAATTATTAAGTGTAAATGCAACAAGAAATATTGTTTTTGCATCATTCAATCGTATGACAAAGCAACAACGTGGAAAGATTGCATTAGAATTTCTTACTGATTTATTCATTGAAGCTAATGCAGATTTACATGTGGGTACATTAACATCCAATTGGTGTCGATTAGTTGACGGAATGAGGCTTGCACTTGGAAAAACAATACCTTATTATACACCTGAAAATAGATATTTAATGAATACGCGAAGGCGACGGTAACCAAAAGATTTTTTCACAAAACACGATAGCAATAAATTTTAATATGCGTCAAGCAACTATTCTTTATGAAGGATGTGGGTATTAGTATTGTCTTCCTCCACACCCACACCCTAAACCATGTTCATTGTTGCGACATCGTTAGCACCTCTACAAAGTACAACCCAGCAGAAAAACCTAGCAAACTCTGATTGACTATCTCTTAGCTAATCAGAAATCAGTCCAAGGGTGTGGGTGTGGGGGTGTGTGTGGGTGTGAGTGGATGTGGGTGTGGGTGTGGATGGATGTGGGTGTGGGTGAATGAGTGTGGGTAAGGGTGTGGGTGCGGGTAATTCATCACTAGCACCCACACCCATATTATAAATGAGCAGTTGGAACTAGAGGTGTAAGCCGATAGGTTGATCGGCGGCGCCAATTTTTTAAAATTTTTTAAAAATGCTCGGCGGCGCAGATTTGATATTCTCCGGTTGCACAGCGGCGGCGGCTCGAAAATTTTAAAATTTCGAATATCATCGGCGGCGCGGCGGCTGTAATGAAAGATTCTCAGCGGCGGCGGCTTGAAGTTTGAAACGTACTACGCTATCATAAAAAAATTAGTCTATGGTCTTGTCTACACTAGGAAGAATAATGCAGTATTAAATTCGCATTAAATCAATTTGTGTCTATATTTGACAGTTAATGCATCAAACAGAATCCTAGACTTTGAAATGAAACGTGATTTGTGTTCATTTCAATCATAGAGGACTCTCCCATTGAAAACTGCGTCAGTCTCATTAGAAAATCGAATCAGACTTTGATTGATGCATTAACTTTAATGCAGTTCTAAAAAGTACAATAAATTTAATGCACTTTTTAAAAGTGTGTTAGATGTTTATTAACTGTTCAACCAGTCATCTTTCTTAATTCAGCATCAAATATTCTAGTGTAGACCTAGTCTATTTCAATATCCCATCGTTTTTATTTCCAAGCAAATGTGTAAGAAAACTTCATTTTACCTCTAAACATAATTGTAGGTAAGTTCCGATATCCCTAGTACATTACATATTGGTAACTTTTCTGATAAATTTCCAGGATATATTCGTTAGTCTTTTCGCACTATATATTATATATGTATATCGTATATACATATGGATTCTTTCCTTCCTCTCATATATGTTGGCTGATTCCTTCTCTCTATTATATATATGTGTGCTCGTTCTCTTCTCTTCGCTTCTTCGCTATTTCTTTTTTTCTTGTTGTCACACCTTGTTGTTTTACAATAAACTAGAACTCACACAAGCACGAACAATAATAAAAAAAGTAGACAATGAAAAATAAATATAATTACGAGGATCAATAATAAATGAAAAATCACAACCATCATTGCTAATAAGTAAAAGCACGTAGCGTACACAAGCTTGTTGTTTTATTTCGTCTTTGTTAATCAAAATTTAAAGTGCTCGTCTCTTCTTGTATTTATAAATATATTTAATATCGCAGACATAAACAATTGAAATAGTAACTTAGAATTTTCACCCAACATAGAATTAAGGGTTCGTTTACAATTTAGAACTCCAAAGCATCGGATTGGTCACAGAATTAGCATGAAAGTGAAGGTGAAGGCGAGAAAGTTAATGAAAAAGAGATATATTGGAGTTTCATGATGTAAAAGTATCGAATTAAGGAGAATATAAATAAAACGTTATTAATATTTATGATAGTTGCCAGCGGTGGCGGCTCGAAAATTTTAAAATTTCGAATATCATCGGCCGCCCGGCGGCTGTAATGAAAGTGTCTCAGTGGCGACGGCTTAAAAGTTTCTAAAAATTTTATTGTCACGGCGACGGCGGCTCAGCCGCACGGCTTACAGCTCTAGTTGGAACTATTTGATTTGTTCGTTTTTGTGTTAGAGCATTGGTATTTAAAGGTAAATGAGCAATAATTTGTCGCTGTTTTCGACAGAAAAAAATTTTCTTAATTTTTTTTCCAACTTCAGGTATTGATCCACAACAAACAAATGGAAAAAGAAACATAATATAATTTGCAAAAAAAGCACTATGATAATATAATACCAATATATCATTTGTTTCTAATCCAAGAAATCTACAGAATTGAAATAATGTTCTTGGACCCATAAATATAAAATAGAGAGTTGATGCTGATAATAATTGAATTGTCATTTTTCGTTGTTTTCTCCATTCAATTGATCGATTCATACGAGATTTTTGCCATATAACACGTAAAAAAAGAGCAATATTCAATATAATTATAAGTCCTACTGGAACAAATTGATGACTAATTGTATTATATTTATAAAAAAATGGAACTCCTAATACACAAGACATAGGAACACCATTGAATGGTGATTGACGAATAACCTCTTCACAAAATGGAAATAGAATAATCCACACATAATATACAATCTTATAGATCAAAACTGATGTTAAAGGAAAATAATGAACCCAAAAACGTCTCTTTTTTGTTGATACCCAATTACTATGAAAAATAAGAATATGTCGTTCAATTGAAGCATAAGCAAAACCAACAAGTTGTGTTGAATAACATGAATAATCAACAAACGTCCAAAAATGAGCAAAGGTAAGAGTAAATTTCCAAGCTGTACCAACTTGATACCAATAAAGCATTAATGGAACACTTGTTATTTCATATATTAAACCAATAAAAAGAAGAACAATAATTATATGATTATTTAGAGCTTGACGAAGTGTTCGATCAAATAAAAAATGATATAAAACAAAAAATGAACAGAATACTGAGCAAATATTCGGAATAAGATAAAGCCAAAATCGAGTATAAACAGATATGCGTAATTCATATGGATTACCAAGATCTTTCTCATTTAAAATACTATAGGAACTTGTCATTGTTAAACAGAGCAAATATAATCTTTTTTTAAAAATAAATGATCATTAATAATGAAATTTTATTTATATATAATTATAAAAAGAGAGAGAGGAAAAAAAAAGAATAAGATTTTTTCCTCTCTCTGAAAAGGATTTATTATCTAGTGGATGGACCAATAAGAAATTCTATGTTATTATATTCAATTTTCAAATTTTCTTTTTACTTCACTGACTTAAAACACTTTTGTTGTCAAAATAATTCAATATCAAATACAGCTGTTTGACATTGTAAAGATTTCTCAAGAAAATTTCCTGTTCTTTAATATAAACAGGCTCATTATTTATATAATCTTATAATTGGACACGAAATGAATAGTCACTGAATAGCTTGATATTCTCAGAGAGATATGAGATCAAGAAGAATACAACAGTAATGTTGGAATAACTATTTTCAACATTAATATAACGTGATGTCCGACGAGTTCTGCAGACATATATTTCTGTTCAATGACAATTAATTTTATGATCTAATTTTATGTTTTAATGATACAATTCATTTCAACGATGACATTGGACGAATACTTCTCTATATTAATCCCATTCTAAACTTTGATCTATTTTCTGATAGGCATGACATTCAGAAAAAAAAATTATGAACGTGCCTTAGATATGAGGAAAGTTTTCACTTAATAATTGAAGGCATATAGGGTGTCCGGAAAGTCATTAGAGTTAGAAAAAATTGAATATCTCCGCTACGTCTCGAGCAAACAAGCTGATCTTTTTACCAATAACAGAGACATGTTCATACTTCAAATCCATACAAACAAGGTTAGCCAGAGCCTTTGTTAAATACCATCAATGACCTTAACAAAAAACTTTTTACTTTTTTACAGATAGGAGAAAACAATAGACTTAACAAAGAGTCTCTCTAGGCATGTCTTTATGAATACAAAGCTTGAACATGCCTCTATCATTGATAAAAGAATCAGCTCGTTTGCTTCAGCCGTAGTGAAGATATTCAATTTTTTCTCGGCAAAGTGACTTTTGCGCCACTCGATATATTGTTTTTTTCCTATCTGTAAAAAAGTAAAATGTTTTTTTGTTAAGGTCATTGATGGTATTTAACAAAGGCTCTGGCTAACCTTGTCCGTATGGATTTGAAGTATGAACATGTCTCTATTATTGGTAAAAAGATCAGCCCGTTTGCTCGAGCCGTAGCGGAGATATTCAATTTTTTCTAACTCTAGTGACTTTCCGGACACCCTATATATACGGTCTTTGATCAGAGAATTTCATTACGTTCTTGATGATATTTTAACATTCGTGTGATTCACATCAGCGATGCATAAATTCAAAATGTTGATTATTCATTTGAAATATCTCTCATTGCAAAATTTGTTTGAACGACTTTTGTAGAAGTAGTTAATGAATTGAAAGAACAAGCTACAATAGAGAAAATAGTATATGTCAAGTTAACTTTACTCAGTCAGGCACATGCCCATATATCAATTTTTTAATTTTCGACGCGTCCCCGAGCGTTTTCCAGCAATATAATTTCACGCGTCTGGATGCATCCAAAATGCAACATTTTCGGGTGTTCTAACGCAATACCAGTTTGAAACGCAAACAAACGCGTTTAAGTTTGTGCCACGTTTGAATGCGCCTAAAATGCAACATTTTTGAGTGTCCTAACGCGCTCTAATAGAGAAACGCATCCTGACGTTGTTTATTGTTAGACACGTCGAAACGCGTTTTAGGATATCCAAAATTTGTTAAATTTTAAAAAATTGTGCTCTATATCATGGTATCGATCCATTTTCATCGCTACGTGATATTTTTATTTCAATTTAACACATTATTAAGTTATTGAATAGAGTGTAACAAACGAGATTCGATCATGATGCCTACAGAATGAAAGTCATTGAACTTACCACGAAGCTATAAATACTCGTACAGTCTTATCTGTTATTATCATGTGACTTTTTATAGAAGAAAAAGATCAATTTATAGCAATTGCTTCATTAAATTATATAAACTTTGAAATATTTTCATTTTATTAATTTATCAGTGTCACTTAAAATTGCATCCATGACATCGGTTACATATGATTAACTTTATAAAAACAATAATTATAGTTTTTGGATCACAGAATAGGAGAAAAACGGTTTTTTCGATAATTAATTGCTTATTCAATAAATGCTCAATGGATGCAGCATCTTAACTTTTTTGTCTTTTTAAAGTAAAAAAAAATTAATTTAAATTTTAAATTCAAATTAAGTAATTATTTTTTCTTTTTCTTTTTTACTTTGAATGAAATTTTTAATCATAGCGACGTGAAGATAAATTTTATAGAATTTACTTTTCAAAAAAAAAATAGTAGAAATTGAAAAAAGTAAATTTAAAGAATTGCGTATTTTGTAGACGATTATATGCATTTTGTTTTTTCTGTCACATATGACTCTTTAGTGTAAGAATTCGTATATGAAGAAATAGAAAAAACTTTAGACTTTAACATATAAACATTAAATGTATTGTAAATACGTTCATAACCAACCCAGATAAAATATTTGTTGCACATGGATGAATCTAAACGCCCGATGGCAATAGTGTTTGAATGCATATTTTGTGTTCTGACTGCATTTAGACGCTATTTTAAGTTGTTTTTAGCCACATTCAGACGCAATTCTATTTCAAGTTGTGTTTGAAAGCAACTCTACCATTGTGTCTAAGCTACATCCAGATTCATTTGTTTCTTCTACTTCTTATCTGTTTGTATCTCTAATAGGTTTACATGGAAACTAACTTTGAACTTCATGTTTGAGTTAAAATGGACATTTTTGCTTAATACTTAAATTTTATTTATTTTGAAATTTAAATTGCTACGCTTAACATATGTGTTATACAAGAGCGAAATTGATTTCGGGAAAAAAGTGCTGGTAGTGATATGTAGCAAAATAATATTATTGTAATACCGTTTTTGAATGAATGTTCTGTACATTACAAAATTTGATACGTATACTCATTTGTTTCTATTTCACAGATTAACTAAGTCTTCATGACTTTATATGCTGAACACAAATATGATGAGATTTCTCGTATCCAACTATTTGTGTTTATATTCTGCTTCATGCAATGGTAGCCACTGATATTTGAAACTGCAGATTATCAGGAAGAATCCTCTTTAAGAATTCGAAACACAGTAAGACTTAAATACGTCATCTATATAATTAACTATATAATTTTTATACTTTTTTAAATAAAAAATACGTAGTTCAGTTTACTGTTCGAGATCTAGTCACGCGTACTGTGACGAAGTAATCTGCATTATTGATAGCATTATGTGCACTTGCAGCTAGAAACGCGTTCAGATGCATCTTATCTATACAAAACAGAAAAAGAAACTACATTTACATGCACGATTGGAACTCAAAAGCATTAGCTGCATTTCGGGGAAGCGCATTCGGATGCAAAAGTAAAAGCAATTGCATTCAAATGCATCTAAGTTAATATTATTTCCAGATATGAACGCATTCCGATCCAAAAATGATACTGTTCGCGTTGAAACGCATTTAAAACCTACTGTAAATCAGTTGTGATGCGTTTTAGTCACGAAACGCGTCTGAACGCATGCAAGACTTTGCAATGCGTTTGGAGGCTGTTTCAATTCCAGATGCGTTTAAACGCGTCAAAAATGCGTTTTATGATTACATGGGTGTTTAAAAAAACAACATCAGAACAAATAATCTGATTGAATCATAGGCGGCTGTAAGTTATGGAAGAAATTTATAAGCATATTTATCTGATGTGAATATTATGATCAAATTTCTTTTCAGTTTCAAGTCAGTTTAGCATAAATTCTGGAGCATGTCTTGATTTAATTGACATTGTATTAAGTTATTTAGTTTTGAAAATTTTAATTCAACTATCATCAACATGTCAATTTTGGAGACAACGGATTTATAATGATTTAAAGTTACGGTCAAATATAATTAAACGATCATATTATGCTTCGTACGAGCTTTTAACAAACCAAATAAATTTCCAGAGAATCAGATTCGCAATGAATAATCGAAAGTTGAGAGAGAACAACCTCAACATGCATATATCCTTGTCCTGCTTGATTAAAATGTAAAAGTAAAGATAGACAGTATACGGGATGCTCGTTTATTCTCCCTTCCTCGGCAAATAATGATACTAAAAAAATGATCATACACACGAAATACGCACTCTTTATTCATGTGTTGACAATTAAATTGAAAAAAAACATTCTTATATGTTTTAATATAGATTGATTAACAATCTAATTTAGAACTTAAACAATGAGGTCGGAAAGTCATACTCTTAATTGATTAAATTATTTTCTTTCTCAATCATACAGTAGACATGGCCATGCTCACGGAAATATGTTGAATCAATAGTAGTATCAGCAAGCCATTTGATTATTTCTATTGACGGTAATAAATATCGTCAATTAAATTCAACTATATGCAAGTTTTCACATCTTTCTAGAATTGTTTTGATATGTTTTAGACGCATTGAAATGATCAAGGATAGGTCATCGATTATTTTAGAAGATTTGTAAAAATAACTGTTAAGTATAGAAGGTACTTCCATTGAAGGTAGAGGTCAATCATGTGTACTTTCAATATCAATTTCAGTTATATTGACAAACAGAGGAGATGTTGTTGTTGCTTCTTAATAATAGATGAAAATAGAATTTTTCAGAATTGATTCTATATGAAACATCCTTTTTTGTCTATGTAATGGGTCACTGAACTGTCTACAGTTACAGTTAATGATTCGATATTTTTCGTCATTGCTTGATTGTCTTTGACAATCTAGGATAGTTGGATAAAGAAAGTTTGATACTTTGTAAATTGATATTCTAGAGAAGATTTGCATCTGGGATATATCATAAAGTTCATCAACATTTATGCTGCTGTTTATCGTCAAATATTGAAGTGTACAATTCGTTTACCATATAATTTTTGATACGAATATGCTACATATATTAAAATTCAATGCGCGAAGATTTTCTTTTGTGAACGAGTATGAAGTTAGATTATTGAGATTGATTCTTTTGAAAATGATTTCCAATAGATTTACATCAATCTTGTAAAGAGAAAATAATCAAATATTTGATGTAATGTTTTCAACTAGCAATGATTCAATTTGATGATATTGATGTAGAGTATTAAAAGTTGACGATGAGGGTCATTCATTTCGTTTATAAAAACTGATACGATAGATTGAAATCATAAGTGTATTTACAATCAAAGACCACTCATCGGATTATTCTAGATCTTGGAAGGAAGACTTTGAAATAGGTTTGATTAAGAAAGAAAAACAATACATTCCATTTTTCAGTATAAATTTGAGCTTTTATTGTTCATATTTCACAACAATGAGAAATCAGCGATTTTAACAAATTTAGATTTTATGAAAACATAAAACGACTTGATCGAACTTTTAAATTCTAAATGATTTATTCAGAGAGCAATCTGATTAGAATACAATATTAATATAGAAAAGTAAATTAAAGCGTTAAGAACGAGAATGATGATTAACAATTCCAAATCGATTGAATTTTTTGAAAAAGAGGGAAATCATTTAAAGTAGTCGAAATATTATAACGTTGTCCACCTTGATAAAATATTTTTGTATAATAATGTTGCCAAACTGAATTGTATTGATCAATTTTAGGTAAATAAACTGAACGTGATGTTGCTTGATATGTATAAATAGGAGCAACTAAATAATCTGTTCCAAACATATATTGATCTTCAGATTGATAACATTCTAAATCATCATTAAAATCATAAAACATTGGTCGTAAAATAGGTGTTCCATTTTGATTAGAAATATTTAAATGATATTCAATATAATCACGTAAAGATTCTCGTAATCGAATTATATTAATAATTTGTTCACTATATTTAAATAACCAGACTTCATTATGTCCACCAGAAAAACCACATTCATTGTTTGGAAATGGTGGATAACGTTCACCATGTAAACGAAATAATGGACAAAATGCTCCAAATTGAAACCATCGTAATATTAATTCTTGAAATTGATTATCATCTAAATCAGCATAACGATAACCTCCGATATCAGTTGTCCACCAATAAATACCAGATAAAGCAACATTTTGCGCTACTTTTATCTGTTTTAATAATTCTTCCCATGACGAATCAATATCACCACTCCATACAGCTGCATTGATTCTATGACTACCTATCCATGCTTGTCTACTAAGCATAATAATTTCATTTTCGTTCTGATCTTTTAATCCATCCCAAAATGTTCGTTGATGTTCTCTTGCCCATACCATTGCTATTTCTTCATCATGTCTTCCATACCACCATTGTAAACCAGGTCGACCTCCTTCTGGTTCATCAGCATCTAACCAATAAATTTTTATTCCATAATCATAATAATTTCTTTTAACTTTATCCCAAATGAATTGTCTTGTAATTGGATTAAATTGATCAGAAATATAAAGATTATCAGTTGTGCTTGGCAAAACATTTCCATTTGCATCATGAGTTAATAAATCTGTTGTGTTCATAAAGAAAAAATTTTCTGAATCTTTTTCAACATGAGGCCAAACAGATACCATTAAATTCATTCCGTATGATTTTAATTGATTAATCATTTGTGGAATATCTGGCCAACATGTACTATTAAATTTCCATTCACCAAGTTTTGTCCAATGAAACCAATCAATAACAATAATACTTACGGGAATTTGACGATCATAATAACCTTTTGCAACATCTAAGAATTCATTTTGACTACGATAACGATTTTTACTTTGCCAAAAACCTGAAGCAAATTTTGGTAATGGATTTGGATGACCAATAACATCAACATAATTTTTCATAAGAATAGGATAAAATAATGAAGAAAGATTTTCTTCTTTAGGAATTGTTGTTATCCAAATATCAAGTTGATGTGTAGCATTTGCAGTCCACATTATTTCTTTATCATTTTGAACATCAAATGAACCATAACCTGGTTGATTCCAAAGAAATCCAAATGCTGATGTGTGAATATACCATGGAATTGTTATATCACCATTTGTTGGAGCAGTTGAAGAAAAAACAAATGGTAAATGAAAATTATGATATGCTAATGTCAGATTTTCACCATAATGATGTTCACCTAAACCATATAAATATCCATCTGGAATATGATTATACATTAATGATAAGCTATAAAGGCTATATATTGGGGAATAAATAGAAAGTGGATATTTATATGGTAAAAATGTGATTGATTGTGTTTCAATAAGAATTAATCCATCTGATTGACGTTGAATTAACCATTTTTCATTATCATCACTTATGTTAAATTTAATATTTCCATGAATAAATGTATTTGAATCTGGTTGGTGACAAACTTCTTCATTGAAGATTGGTTGTTCTGGAAGTAAAGCTTGATAATCTGGATTTTGGATAATTACATCTGGACTTAAACGTATTCGAATACTATCAGAACCCCACGATTCAACTTGTAATTGTTGTTTTAAACCATTTGAATATATATATCGGGTAAATATACATGGTGATGCATCGTTACAGGTAATCAAATAAATGAGAAGTAAAATAAGAAATTCACCATAATATTTCGACATGATTCATATAAATATGATCAATTAATTTTCCTAAATAAAAAGAATTCGTTTTTAATCAGTCTTACAGACTGAAACATGTGTCAGTGGCAAAAATGACGTTCGAGATGCATATAGTCTTAACGACCTACACTTATTAGGCAGAAAATGATACAGTTATCTTATTTTATCAGTCAATATACTCACCTTAGTTCGTCTTTTGTAACGCTTTACTTTCGACTATCTATATATATATATATATGTTATTTATCTATTGACGTTGCAAATAGATCTCCAATATCTTTTGGTGATAAACGCAACCAGTGAAACCTCGGCAGTCAAACGCAAGAAGTTGATAAGAACGTCGAGATACATCTCCATATAGGAAACATATGCATGTGCTTATATTTTTTTTGTGGCTTTTCTAGTAAAAAATACTTTACTTGTGCTTATTTGAGCTCTGATGCATATCCGAAGCTACCATTAAAAGAGAGCAAGTTTAGACACTTATATATGCAAGTGAGTGAATGCATCTCTTGTGCATACTTTCATCAACAAAAGAGTTCTAGAAATTGCTAGTGATCAGAAAAAGAAGCATAGTTGACATTGGATCAAGGACTGTCATAACATATCAGATTAATTAAATATCTCATTCTTATCAAGTACAAATTCTAGAACTTTGTTTTTCATAATAATCGTGGTCATCCATCGCTAGTTCACATGATTTAGTTGAGCAAATCAACCATCAACTTATATTTATTCAAGTGAATGAAAACCTCTTGAGAAATTTATTTATTTTAAAGTACGAGATCCATCTGAAGCAATTAATCTTGTGGACAATATACTTTTTTAGCATATTAATACAAAGAGCATTCATTTTCACGAATTCTTCAGCACAGTGGTAATAAACTGTTCAATTTTCAAATTATATTTTCACTAATGTGTTGACTTCGATACAAAAACCAATGAAACTGTTAGTTTCAATTAGATTCATTATCAGGAGTGGTGGATCTTCCATATGTTGAAGAGATTAATTCAAATTAAAAATAATTCCTCATATTAGTGTTAATTCATATGTTAATATATGAAAAGGTGAACACTTACGGTCAATCGTTGTCGATGAGAAGTATAGTAACCTCTTGTTCACTATTTAAAAAGTGAATTCTTCTTCATCGAATCGGTCATATAGTATATTCTTACTAAGCAACGAAACAATTTCGATATGTATGATCATTACCCCATAAAATTGTACAGAAAGAAAAAAAATACAATAAGCTATCGTTCATGCATCGATTATTTTTATTATCATCCTTGACTATATGAAGAAAAAAAAGAATTTTCGAGAGAATGACGATCGTTTTTTGTATGAGAAACTCTGATAGTATCCCTAACGGAGACTTTAGGTTTATCAAACGTATTGTAATTGAGAGAGCGCGCCGATAAAAGAGCTTATTTTAAGCGTGTCTTTCATCATTTTAAGTGTAACTTTTTAGTTATTCTAACAGGAGTGTCTGAATTTTTTTCTATCCCGAAAGGGCAAATATAAAAAACTGAAAATATGATGTTTGCCAAGATTTTAATTATCCAAAAAATGGATCAATATGAGCTCGAAATATCATAAAATCATTAAGGCAAAGCTTTTTAAGACATAGGATTCAGCACCTTCAAAAAATAACAAACCACTTAACACGCATTATGTATTTATCTTATTAAAGTTTTATAATGAATAAGTTTCTGATTAAGAATGAGAAAAATAAAGGATATAAATATAGATAAAGATTATTTATTGCAATTAATTTCGATTAATATTAATTTGAAATAATATCTTCATATATTTTCAAATATTTATTAAGTTACACGCATCAATTTACGTATATTATCTTATAGATCATTAATGATATATTGAGTTTCCAAGGAAGATTTTATTTGAAAATTGAAAATATCATCGGATATTGATCGAGTTGTTTATATATTCAGTATTGCTGATGATTTATATATAAGTTTTGGTTTATTTATAATAATAATAAGTACAATTGGTAATATATGTAATTGTTTTGTATTTATAAATATATCTCCTTTAAATAAACATCCAAATGTATTATTTATAATAAGTACATCAATAGGAAGTTTATTATTTATAAATACTGATTTATGGACAATTATTATTCGAATATTAACTGGAATTGATTTAATGAATTATTCATTATTTTGGTGTAAAATAAATGGTTGATTAACTTATTCAGGTGGTTGTTTTAGTTTTATGTGTAATTGTTTTGCAGGTCTTTGTCAATATTTAATATTATTACCAAATACAAAATGGCAAAGGTTAATAACACGTACGAGAGCAAAATTAATAATTATATTAACAGCTATTATTTATTTATTAATATTTATTCCAATACCAATATATTATACGAATTTTCAATCATCAACATTAACATTTATTTGTAAAAGTTCATATGAAATAATAAATATATACAGTAGTTATTGGATAATGATTGGTTATTATTTTCTTCCAGCTTTATGAACATTAATATTATTCATGTTAATATGGTATAATTTTAAACAATTTTTACGACGTCGTCATTCTATAGAAGGTGTTGTAACTCGCATGATGCTTATACAACTTAGTTGTGTATTAATAAGTGGAATTCCAGCTGGAATATTTGTTTATTATATAATGATAACACAACCAATTAATAGAACACGTTTAAGAGCAAGTTATGGATTTCTTATTTTAGTTATTCTTACCCTCTGTACTTTTTTGTCAAATGGAATATCGTTTTGGATTTATTTATTTCCTTCGAAAACATTTAAAAGAATTTTTTTTCAAAGGAAAATTTTTTAAAAATCGAATTAAACCAATTTCTTCTCCAACAACAATAAATACATTTTTGTCAATTTATTTATTATTAACAAAGATACATCATTATTTTCCATAAAGACTATTTATCTATGTTAGATTTTATATTAGAAATATTTAAGAAATAAATTAAATATATTAATGGGTGACAATGAAAAAGTTTCTTTAAACATATCTTGGATTCGAAATAGAAATAAGACATTGTCATAGTCATAGCTTTCTCAAATAACTGAAGGATAAATAGAAGAGAATAAATAAAAAGTTCAAGTTTCAGTATAATAAGTGATATTTCAGTCTAACACTGATCATGTATACAATTCTGCACTACTAAAATAGTCAAAGTCACGTCCACCAGCAACTAAGATCCTTCCGTTGCCCAGCATCGATGCTGTGTGATAGTATCGTGCAAAACTCATGTTGCCAGTCTTTGTCCACACTCCGGTTGCTGGATCGTAGAGTTCGGCACTATTCAAGGGGTCTTCGTAGAATTCGGCATTATTCAAGGGGTCATTGTAGTTCGCTCCACCAGCAACTAAGACTCTTCCATTGCTTAGTATCGATGCTGTGTGGGACGCTCGTACAATACCCATGTTGCCAGTCTTTGTCCACACTCCTGTTACTGAATCGTAGAGTTCTGCACTATTCGAATAACCATTGATGTAGTTATATCCACCAGCAACTAAGACTTTTCCATTGCCCAGCATCGATGCTGTGTGAGACGCTCGTGCAATACTCATGTTGCCAGTCTTTGTCCACACTCCTGTTGCTGAATCGTAGAGTTCTGTACTATTCGAATAACCATTGATGTCGCTATATCCACCAGTAACTAAGATTTTTCCATTGCCCAGTATCAATGCAGTGTGATCGTATCGTACAAAATTCATGTTGCCAGTCTTTGTCCACACTCCTGTTGCTGGATCGTAGAGTTCTGCACTATTCGAGTAGCCATCGTAGTTATATCCACCAGCAACTAAGACTTTTCCATTGCTTAGTATCGATGCAGTGTGACCGTATCGTTCAAAATTCATGTTGCCAGTATTTGTCCACACTCCTGTTGCTAGGTCGTAGAGTTCGGCACTATTCAAGTAGCCATCGTAGTTATATCCACCAGCAACTAAGACTTTTTCATTGCTTAGTATCGATGCAGTGTGACCGTATCGTTCAAAATTCATGTTGCCAGTATTTGTCCACACTCCTGTTGCTGGGTCGTAGAGTTCGGCACTTTTCAAGTAGCCATCGTAGTTCTCCCCGCCAGCAACTAAGACTTTCCCATTTCTTAATATCGATGCTGTGTGATAGTATCGTGCAACACTCATACTAGTGGTATTCGACCATCCTAGAAAGAAGTGTTTCAATAGAGCAATCTGAATGTTCGCATATGGGAATTTTTTATCAGCTCTGTACGAAATAGTTATCTTTTTAGATAACTATTTCATCCGCGTAAGATTCGAATATATATATCAGTCACTGAACAAGAAGCATGGTCTAGCATTACAGAGAAATGCTCAATTAGAAATCTCTGATATTGAATATCGCCTTGCTTATTTTGTACACCTTCATATGTTAAAACATTGATGACA